ACTAAGTGCTTAAAACACTTATTTGATGTATTTGGCTAATAAATCAAGTGAGACACTTTAAAAATCACGTCATTTAAGTAAAAACCACGGCTAGCCAAGTTTACGCCGTTTTGCGTGGTTTTTGTCAAACGACTAAAAGCGAGAGATGGTTTTCAAGGTGTTTTTGTTGGAGAACCGTTTAAACATGCCAAAGAGTGAAAGCAAATCATAAAATGCTGAAAACCACTTGGTTGGTTTGGATGCCAAAAACCAAACCCGACAACCGAAAGCCGAACACTGGTTTCCGAAAGCCGAACACTGGATGGCTTGGTTTTTGGTTTGGGCGAACACCAAGCGTTTTTTAATGACTTAAACAAGTTTAAAACTATTTTTATGATGTATGAAATGCAATGAGAGTTTTTAGCCTAAAGAGCCAAAGTGTAAAGATTGGGTCGGTCTTGATCACAATAAAGACCGACTCAATACTATGATTAAGGTCTTCGTTCTTGGTCTTCGTTTAGCTCTTGCTCTTATCTTCATTCTTCGCCTTGTATATTCAATGTTTGACTTGATCACGGCAGTTTGGCATTATCAAAACCTGTTGCAAAAACGAACACGGCTTTAGTACTAAAACGTGACAAGCCCGTGTTTCAACACGAAAAGTTTTCAAACGCCTTATTCACCCCCCCCCCCTCTAAGGCGTGGGCACAAAGACTAAACCGACTAACACTGACATCGTGTTTAGTCTTGGTGAGATCGGGGTTCATTGGCGTTTGACGATCCATTGTTGTTATCACAACGGATGTTATCTTCATACTAAGAACCATATTAATCTCATAGCTCTCGATCCAAACACCTTGCTTAATCGCTTCAAAAGCTTCTATTTACTATACTTCTATAGTTGAACTTTGGTAGTGCCATCAAGCTCTTTTAGCTTACTTTACTACTATTCAAAATATGTAACCTTTCTATGATGTGTATACTATGTGTATGTGGAAATCACACAATGCAAGATGATTTCTTCATTTCATATAGCACCATCGTTGGGTGGTGTCTCCTAATACCTTAAGGGCGCTCCTTTTGCTATACAGTGAGAGTCACTAACTTAGCATGTTCTCTACTCATAATATTCATCGGTCTTTATCATGATATTCATGATAGGTCCAAAAGTAATTGCATAATGAACGATTCTTATGCATTCCCTACATGAGATATATCAAGTCTTCGAAAGACTTAGATCTTTGGATTGCGGGTAAGTATTTAGATCAACAACATTGAATCTACGAATAACTTACCCTTATATATAGACCTAGTAACTCCATTTAGTCTATCCAATAGATTCAATATCTAGTGCGTATTTGTTTTTACCTATAAGAAATTCTACTCAACTCCCCATGGATGTTTGAAGTAGGAATATCTAACTTATGATGTGTATGTCATACATACCTTATGGAAAAACATAACACTCCCACTAACCTTTTATTGTCACAAGTTTTTATCTCTTAAAGACCAACTCATAACTAATTATGTTTTTCTTAGGGATATGAAATAACTCCACGAAACGTTGCTTAAGATTTCACTGGGTAACATTAGATCTTATAGCTCGTTGCCCTTTCTTGGACTAGATGTTCATAAGATTGGTCAATGACTCATCTCATGTTATGAGCCAAAAGTCGAATCGTATTCAGACAGACCAAATATATACTTGTGTTATTTGAGCAGTCTCGAGGCACAACATATTGTATCTCTTGCTCCTGTTCCATTCTTAGAAAGCCAATGTCCTTTTAATCTATCTTTCTCCCATTGACTTTCAGGAAGAGGAATTTCTTCTTTAAGAAAACTCTATTATGAGTAACAACACTTTTTTCTCTAACATGTGATAGAACAGAATTGGTATTTTAGCTTGTGATACTTCTAAAAGCCTCATTGTGCAATTCTTTAAGTAGGATATCTAAGGCATGGCCTTCTTTTTAATTTCCTTTGAATGGAACTAGGTTAATAACATAAGTTGAAAAATGAATATGCCTAGAAAGATTTACTAAAGTATTATGACTTATCATAGTGGAGTGAATAAGGATTATATCCTAGGCTCTTTATGGTTTTTTCATTAAACTCTTGTTTTAGAAATTTCTTTCTCAATCATATTGAATAATTTCATACTAAAACTCTCTTGGTATTTATGTCATAGTCTCATACGTTCCAGGCGTATGATCTATTGGTCAACAAAATCATCATCTCAGTTTGAAGAATAACATTTGTCCCTTAACTGAAAATCGAAAAGCATTCTTGTCAAAATAAGACTCATAGATGATTGTTTCACTTTTTGTAGGTACTTTACAAACAATTCTCTAATTGTAGCACCACTCCAATAGGTATGGTTGAGTTATACTTGCACAAGGCCAAAAACCCAACACTTGGTCCAACGTGTGCTTCAACCATTTTTCTTTGGTTAATAGTCTATAATTATGCAACACTTGCTTAATGGTACGGATGTGAGACCCATGTCTCGTTATCTAGTACCTGTTTCATAAATGTAGACTAATTTACCTCTATAACTAAATACTCAACTTGGAAGTCATACCTCCTTTCAATCTTTCTTATAGATATTCATTTTGTCCTTCTATTAGTGGGTTTGCCATAATAGGAGTTTGAGGTATGGGCATGGAAGATGAAAAAGTGGTTTTGGATATGAGCGTACTAACGCTCACATCTTTTCCACTGACCCATTTGTTGGTCCCTACTTCTTCTTCTCGCCCTTTTCCTTAATTTTACTCAACTATTCTTGTCATTTACCGAGCATACATGTGACAAGAAGACCAATCATATATAGCAACGTTTTGCTAAAAGGTCTATAACCAACATTTCGTGCATAGGAATCCCATTGTCTCAAGCTTCAATTATCTTGAGAGTAACCAACCTAAATGGGAATCTCCTTTTATAGTTGAGAAGAATCTTAATATTTTGAATTATTCATGCGTGCTCTCGCTAGAGTTATATTAGGTGTAGATCGAATCTTACCTTTTAGACATTCTTTGCACTTCTAACAGGAGAAGTCATTGAAGTGAGCATGATTTATTCTAAATCTTTAATGTTCCCAAAACATTTTTATTCCACGAAGACATACAACTTACTTTCAAAATTTGAGAACACTTTATCAATTTTGTGATTTCATATTAGGAGTTACATGTAATTTGCAGAACTAGGTTACATTACTATAAATGACTTGCAAACTAGATATTATCAAGAATATAAGTAATTAATTAGGTCTTTAATTAAAAACTCTCCTACTATTTTAACAAATCAACTACCCTCAAGTACGTAACCTATTGATTCGAGACGTCTCCTAAAGAGATATCTTACTGGGCCAAGGTCCATATTACGTTTAACTATAGTTGTGCTTTGCATCTTGCCCTATTGTTAAACTAATTAGGTAGGAACTTATTTCCAATTGTAATCCAATTACAATCCTTTTTTTCTAGGTTCTTTTAAATAAAATCCTATATTGGACCTAAACCCTTATTTCATCTAACTATAGTTGTATTTTGCATCTTGCCCTAGAGTTAAACTATTTCACGTAGGAACTATTTCCAATTGTAACACTTTAAAACTCTGGCTAGATGAAATTAATTTTATTTATTAACCTAACCATGTACCTCTAAGTTATTCATCGTTTTACCTTAACTTAGTTAAGTCCAACGCGGGGTGTACTCAGTATCCATTGTTACGGATTTCGCGCCATACCAAATGTTAACCGGGCGTCCCGCTTTGGCGTGTCCATTGACTAGTCAAGACTAGTAATGACGAGTGAGTAGGCGTCGGAAGACACAAACTTAATATTACGAGGGATTTTAAGCGTGGTCTCACCTATGGTATGTGCCGCGCACATACACTACCGAATATCATACAAGCATACATTCAAACATACAAACATGTATAATGAATAAAACGTGACATGGTTCTCCTAAAGAAACTAACAACAAAGCCTTCACTTGAGATCTCTATCTCCAGCTTCACCTTCTTTCTTTAAGAGTGCTTCAGCTTCAAGTTCAGCCCTTGTTGCTAATGTCTTCTTCTTCATGGTTCCTTCATATTCTTTGCTTCTTTGTTTAATCGATTTGTGAGCAAGGGGTATGAGGTTTAAGAAGATATTTACAACAAGAATTTAGAGATGGGGCACAACACGCAAGCCGTATTTAAAAATCACACATTCTAAGTCACAACCATGCATCATGCAAACATTCATACATGACATGCATCAAATCCATACACCGGGCAAGCCGCGCTCACCCCAAACCTCCTTTATTCTAAGAAAAATAAACTACAAGCCTAAAAATTATCAAAATATTTTATTTAAATTTGTTTTAAAACTCTAGAATACCCAAAATTTAATTTTGAATTTTCCTTAATTTTAAAATATATTATTGCCGTAAATATAGGTATTAATTTTGAAATTAGGTTTCTAATTTCGAAATAAATACTTATACCCTTTGAAAATTAATAAATAAATTCCAGGATATGTATTTGGATTTTATACGTCTGAAAATCAAATTTCTATAATTTAAAAAAAGTTTATTTTTCGAAGTTCTGTATTTAATTGTATAAGACCCGAATTTAATTTCCAAAATTAATTTCAGATATTCAAAAATCAATAATTTCCAAAATTAAATATTTTGGATCAGATATACTGTGAAAATCAAATTTCCAGATTTAGTAAATTATATTTTTGGTATTATGGAATTTATTTCCAAAAGAGTTAAATTAATTTCCAAAATTAATTTAGAATATTCCAAACATTCCAAAAATCAATATTTTCCAGAACTAAAGTTTTCCACTCATATATAATATGAAAAAAAATTTCCAGATTTTTCTTAAATTTTATTTTTGGTTCTTTCCATTTATTATTTGGTAATTCATAAAAACAATGTCTAAAATTAGTTTTTGTACATCATAATAATTCCAAAAATATGTATTCTTAAAATATTATGATATTATTACCAAATATTAGTTTTCCATAATTTAAACATTAACTATGTAATTTTAGAAAATTAGTTTTGGAAATTCAAATAATTACCGAAACAATTTATTCCAAAATTACAAATTAAATATTTAAATTCAACATTTAATTCTGAATAATTTTATACAATCTGGGAATCATATTCTCCAATTTAGAAAATTATAATTTTGCACCTTTTAGCAGCGAAATTCTCTTCTTCCCCAAATATGGTACTAAATATGTGTTAGTTAATTTTCTTCAACCAAAGTTAATTTTCAAGTTCTCGGAGCACTGTAAGTTTTTCTTCTTGAATCGTTGTTGAATCTTTTATGAATAAAATAATAATTTGTTTACCTTAAAATTTATTGATGTTTAATTTGTCTTTGAGAATTTTATATGTAGATATGATGATGTTGGGTGTTTTATTTCAGAAAATCAATTGGTAATTTTATATGGGTTAAGATTCGGAATAAAGATTTAACCAATTTAATTTTATCTTTTAATTAGTAATTGGATTAATTATTAGAAAATTAATTAATATTTTATAATTAATAGAATTTTTTATATTATTAATTAATCATTGGAAATTAATCTTTAATCTTGTCTATGATGTAATAAGATTAATTAAGCCACACGATCCAAACACCTAGAAATAGGTAGGATTAGAAATAACTGTTTGGAATCGTTTTAACTAATTCATAATACTAAACATTTTATTAATTAGGTAATTGGAAAATAATTCTTGCCTTATCTATGAGGATTTAGAATTATTTTAGCCGAGAATTTTCTAGCACAGTACTGAGACCTAGAAATACGAGATGTACTAGAAATATAATTATCTTATAATTTAATACTGAGACCTAGAAATAGGGGATGTATTAAATATACGATGAGCATTTTATGTTCTATATTGAGAAGGCTGCGTTCAACATTCAGAAGGAGAAGACAGCAAAGGAAATTATGGAAGCGTTGTCTAACATGTACGAGAAGCCATCTGTAGCGAATAATTTTTTTCTGATAAGAGAGCTGGTGAACACAAGGATGAAAGAAGGGACTTCTGTTACCGAGCATATCAATAAGTTGAATTCAATATTAACCAGACTTGCATCAGTGGAAATTAAGGTTGATGATGACGTTCAAGCTTTGCTACTGCCATCGTCTTTGCTTGATAGTTGGTCCAGAACGGTTGTAGCGGTTACCAGTTCAGATTCAAGATCTCATTCTTGACGAGGATGTCAGAAGAAAGAGTTCAAGGGAGTCATCTGGTGGATTGCTTCATGTTGGTAGAGGCAGAAGGAATAGCAGAGGTAGTAAGATCATGAAGAAATAAAGGAGTTAGTTGAAGACTCGGGATAGCTCAGGCATAACATGCTGGAAGTGCAAGGAGGTGGGGCATTTTAGGAATCAATTCTCGAATGATAAAAAAGTGAACATTTCTAAAGGCTCCGCGAGTGATTAGGAGGTCACTCGGACTAGCTGTGAGGAAAGCAATGTGGATTCCTGGGTCATGGATTCTGGTGCTTCATTTCATGCCACCCACAGCGGTGAAGCATTGCAGAATCTGGTTATTAAAGACTTTGGAAAGGTACGACTTGCGGACGATAGAGCTCTTGAGGTGACAGGCATGGGTGACATGGTGTTGAAGACCGTGGTTGATTTCAGAACTTTGAAGGATGTCAGAGTGGTTCCAGCCTTGAAGAAAACTTTGATTTCTGTCAGGGAGTTGGATGAACAAGAACATGAGGTGAAGTTCAGAGATGGGCAGCGGAAGGTAGTGAAGGGAAATCTTGTCATGGCCCGCGAAGGGAAGAAAGGTTCGCTATATATGGTCGAGTTACCATCTGAGGAAGTGACCGTCCCAATTCAGAGGAGAAACGAAGTCTAGTTCACAGAGTCTCGTGGGTAGAAGAAGGTTGTTTATGCAAGAAAGAAACCCAGAGCCAATGGTCAAACTTAGGATGAACAAGCAAGGAAAGGTTCAAGGAGGCCTGTCAGAGGCATTTATGGCAGTGGGAGTGATAAGTCCGTTTCGTACATACCTTTTTACTCATATTTAATACGTTCATGTACCATTTTAATTATCAAATCAATCAGTTCTTTATTCTTTTTCATCAAAATATTATGTTTTGATAATCTGATCATAAAAATAATATCTTTGAATTAATATGCAAAATTGGGCCAAGAATGGAATGAAAAGAGTCCATTTTCAATAGAAAAATAATTCTACAAAGGTGCGGAATTTGAAGTTGGAATAAATAGAAGAAAGGTTCCGGAAAATTCTAGAGGTTTTTTTAGAGAAGAGTTGAATTCCCTGGAGAACTTTAGAGGTGTGTAGAATTTTCTTGAAGCATATGAGAGAATGTGGATAAATTTGGAAGCCTCAAGAACATTCTAGAAATGTATAGAAATTTTTAGAGACTTATAGAAGAATATGGAAGCCTTTGGAATTCTTTAGAGAAATGTAGAGTCTTTTGTGGAAGAGTGTAGAAGAAGGAATTCTCTAGAATTATGGAAGGCTCAAGAGAACAACCCTCCACCATCTTAGAGATGAAGTAGTATAAATAGAGGTGGACTCCATCACTTCTACCAAGCTTTTCCCTTGCAATTTTCCCCCTTTTAAGGGAAAATTCCCTTCCATTTTGTCCCAGAATATTGTATTAAAATTGTGTTAGCCAAATATTCTTTCCCGTGAGTTAATTTTCTAGTTCTGAAGCACTGTAAGTTTTTCTTTTCTTTTTATTGTAATCCTTATTGAGCCTTTTAATTACAAAATATCATTTTGTTTACTTTGATTTATATTGATGATTGAAATGTCTTTGGGAATTTTATATGTTGCTATGATGATATTTTATGTTTTATTTAAGAAAATGAATTAGTAATTTCACATGGGTAAGGATTTGGAATGAAGATTTAACCAAATTAATTTTATCTTTTAATTAGTAATTGGATTAATTGTTAGAAAATGATTTAATAATGATTAATCAATAGAATTGTTTTAATTATTAATTATTCCTTGGACATTAATCTTTTATCTTGTCTATGAGGTTATAAGATTAATTAAGCCACACATTCCAAACACCTAGAAATTGGCATGGTTAGAAATAAACGTTTGGAATGTTTTTAACTAATTAATCATACTAAAAATTTTATTAATTAAGTAATTGGAAATTAGTTCTTACCTTGTCTATGAGGATTTAAAACTATTTAAGCCGAGCATTTTCTAGCACAGTACTGAGACATAGAAATAGGAGATGTACTAGAAATATAATAATCTTATTTTGACATGATACATTTTCAAACCATTTTGGTGCACGTAATTTTGATGCAATCCTGACCCTTAGATCTCACAATCTAAAGCACCAGATTCATTCTTATTTCTTTCGGTGTTGTTATTTTATTTTTAATTAATTTTTTAATTTTCAAAATTTAAAAAAAAAGTGAGTTTTGGTGTTCAAAGGGGTGAGCTTTGCTTTATTTCCAGGTGAGCTTTGCATTGTCCATTGGTGAGCTTTCTAGTGTAGTGTGGTGAGCTTTGCGTCATCTGACCGAAGCATGTCATCTCACCGTAAGGTGTCATCTCACCGGAGTCAATCCCATATATATATATATATATATATATATATATATATATATATATATGTTGGGAAAAATATTATAGATTTTGATGATAATGTATTTAGATTGTACTAGGGACTTTAGGCCTCCCCCAATATTCAATGTAATTTTTCTTTTTAGAAATAATGTTAAAACCGAGTTCTTGAGATTTCCAATAAAGTTGTGATATTTCACTCTGTGGTTTGATCTTTGAAGACTTAATCATATTCTGTTATATGGATATTGGATATCTTGTTCGGAAACGTCAGAGACAAGTAAGGATTTCTCAAAGCAATTGAAGATCCTCTAATCCAGAACACTACATGATAACCGGATGTCTCGCTATAACCCGCTGAAGGTTAAGTCATCCAAATCGGAAGACTAGCGCGGATCTCTTTCTCACCCGGAAGTCTGTGAATGACTCTTCTGGATTTGTCAGCGAAAGAACCGGATGCCTCAAGAAATAACCGGAACTCTCCGAAGCGGACAAGTGAGAAAAGACTTAGAAAAATTCTAAGTCTTGAATGAAGAAACTCTACCCGTTGGTAAGGAAAAATCAATCTCTTGATTTTCAACGGCTAGATTGAAGATAATTAAGCTGATTCAAGAACAAATGACTTGAAGACAAAGTCTGGACCCCTCAAATTAAAGAGCTCGTCCAGAATTCCTAAACAAGCACTAGAAGACAAACAGAGTAAAGAGCTACAGTCCAGAATTCTTGAACAACAGCTAAAAGACGGATTCTGTGGAAAAAGGAATCCCTCCTCAAACAATTGGATATGTCCAAACACCCATTCCAATGAGGAATCCTCAATCACAATCTTCATTCAAAATTGAAGCCAGCAAATGCAACGGATAGTCTATTTTGATTCAACGGATAGATTATCCAATCTAGCTATAAATAGCAACCTTGGAAGACTGGAGAAGACACGATGAGATAGACGAACACAACGAAGCAATCTCTAACAACAAAGCTATCTCATTCACAGTTAGCCCAAAAAGCTTGATAAAGAGAGATTTCTAAAACTCCTTATCCAGAAGCAAACTTCTCCTCCTTCCAAAGAGCTATAGTGTAAACACTTGAAGGTTTCCTTGCCTCAAGTACCACACCACGTTGAAGGATA